ACTTTCAATACCTCTATATCTCTGAGGGATTCCGTTATCTCGGCAGGTATAGTACTTTTGACATAACATGAGATCCCCCTAGTTCCTTGATAGCTTGAGCTTGAGCTCAATAGCTTGAGCTACCTCATCCCTTTGTGTGTATTTTACCTCAATAAACTTATTTCAATTTCAATTTCAAGTCTTGGCTAACTCATCAGTTCTATCATGCATTCGGAGACCAATATGGGAAGGATGATGGAGTCAGAGTTTGTCTCCTGTGGATTCCTTCCCAAACGCTGAACTGTAATGCCAATCCTGACCTTAAATGCTTCATTGAAGGTTGTAACAGGACCCATGAGCACCACACCAGAAACAAATACCTTTTTGATATTCCAAGAGTACGACTTATTCAAACCAGAATTGCTCTACAAATCAAGGGACCCAGAATGTCGAATGACCTTCCCAATCATGTCAATTAACTAAGTTATCCGTCCTAAGCTGGAACATTGCATCCCTCAAAAAAAGGTTCTCAGATTTACATCACAAAGTAACAACTGAACACATCGATATTGTATGTCTCCAGGAGTGCAGAGTTCCCGCAAGATCCTCACCCTCGAAATTGCCCTCATTTGTTTCTTACAACCTCAGATCCAGTAACTCTTGCATTATATACATCAAACAATCCCTACCCCATCAACTTCTGCCAGAAAAACAAACTGCCGGTCAACAGTATCATGGAGTGAGGATCTATGTGGGCAACTCTGTTCTCAATGTATTTAATCTATATGCTCCAGCAGGCAAGTTAAATTATATTGATCTTCCGGCCTGCGCTCAAGCAGAGCCAACCATCATTCTTGGTGACTACAATGCTAGACACAAGGACATTGGTGACTCTTGCTTCAGTAACGGTAACGGGAATCAACTGCTGTCGCTACTAAATAGTCACCAAGATGTGCAAATTGTGGGTGACCTTGAACCCACGCATATTTGTGGAGGCATTCTAGACCTCTGTGTTGGTTTCAACGTCTCTCACGTCTGGTGCACATCATCTATTGTAACAGATTTGTTGTCAGATCATCACCCTAGATTGACTACTCTATGTATAGGAAATACCATCCTGCCCGGTGGGACTTTCAAACGCAAACGGCTCAGTGTTCCTCCTACTCGACGTGAAGACTTTGTTGCTCATGTGTCAGAGTGGTACAGCACTTATGATCCCTCCACAGTCCAGACATTTAACGACGATCTAGTACAGAGCATTCAGATGTTTGCTGACCCTTTAGGTCAGCCCCCTGCATCATCCAATAGTCGGAACGATATGAAAGATAATAAACGCCATGCCTATTACAATGACCCCAAACTGCGTACTTTGAAACGCACTGCCAGACGAGTTGGGCTTGCATATAGGGAAACACGTACGCCGGCAATGCTCAAGCTCTTTCAGAAAGCCCTAGCCAAGGCGAGGGAGCGCATGACAGAGCTCAGGCAAGATAACTGGGAAACTTTTGTTAACAGTCTCAACTCTCACACCCCCCTCAGCCAGGCATGGAAGGATATTAAAAGAATTCAAGGCGATAAGATCGGCCAAGTAGCACACCCTCACCCTCTACACAGACCAAACGAGTTAGTCGATGCTTGGGCAACCACCTCTAGCTTCAATAATCTTCCCCCAGACATACAGTTCAGATTAAATGCTGGTTACGGAGATCGAGAAAGGCTCGTTGACTTCATGCTCTACAAGGAAGATGAATGCAACGTGCCATTTACTGAGTTTGAATTACTCGCGGCCCTAAACAAAGGCAAAGCCACATCCCCCGGTGAAGATGGTATCACTTATGACATATTGCGTCTGCTCCCTTTAGTACCAGGGAATCCCCTGCTTGAGCTGTATAATATGAGCTATGTTACTGGGGAGCTTCCTAACTCTTGGACCAACAGTATAATCATTCCAATTTTCAAGCCAAATCAAGAGAATGCTTTCCGCCCAATTTCCCCTACTAGCTGCATTTGCAAAACATTCAAGAGAATGGTCCTAAACCGTCTCCTCCATAGAATAAGAACCATGCTATCCCCCCAGATATATAGCTTCATGCATGGAAGGAGTGTGCATCATTGCATCATCACCTTCCTAACCCTGCACACTGAAAAGTCATATACCACCTTCCTAGATCTTAAGTCTGCCTTTGATATTGCAAATAGACATGTTATCTTGAGTGAGCTTGCAAGAATGAATATTGGTGGTCGGCTTCTTTGTTGGATCAGGGGTTACTTATCCAACAGGAAGTCATCTGTATTTTTCCAGGGGCATAGGAGTGTAACAAGAGACTTTGAACTAGGTACCCCGCAGGGTGGTGTCCTCAGTCCTACCTTATTTAATATCTTAATAAACACGCTGTTAAACTCTATACCGAGCAAACCCAACGTCCACATCATTAGCTATGCTGATGATATAATGATACACACCACTGGGTATGCTAACACGCAGAACACTCTTAACTCTGTATTAGACTCATGTCAGGACCTAGGTTTAATTATCTCAGCAGAGAAAACAAAGATACTAAATCGGCGCCCACCCAGGCAGGGAGGAGCTGTTCGCAAGATGCAACTGTCTGATGGCTCCCAGCTTGACTATGTAAACAGATTCAAATACCTTGGCCTTGAGGTGCCACTGTATGGTCCTGTTGTATTCAGACTCTGTCGTCAGTTTAAAGAGAGGCTCCGAGCTCTCAAGGCTGTTGCAGGTTATCACTCAGGCTATGGTGCCAATGCCAGAATTGTCAAAATGATGTACTTTGCATACATCAGATCTTTAGTGGATTATGCTGCACCTCTGCTTGTCTTGATGCCCGAAAGAAAGCTTGGAGGGTTTGAAAAATTGCAGAACGAAGCCTTGAGGATAATCCTTGGGTGCCCTCGTACCACAAAGATACTTAATATGAGAAAGGAACTTAATATTCTGAGCGTTGTTGATCGTGTTACTGAAATTAACTGTCAAATTGGTATAAAAATGCTTAGGCTAACTCATTCTAATCCTTGCACAGAAGCCCTCCAGAATTTCTTTATTGAAGATCAGCATTGTTCCAAATGGATAACAAAAACTGGAACTCAACTCAGAATGTATGGAGTTCATGATTTGTACCAAGAGAAACAACAACGGCACTTTCCTGCACCGTGGGAGGTTACACCCTTTCCAGTTTTAATCCCTCCCTTTCCACCCAAGAAGCAAATTAGAGATCAGCCCAAGCTTCGTCTTGAGGCAAAGCTCAACGCCTTAAGCCATATTGATGCTCTGTCCACAGAGCATTCTCTCTCCCAAATTATATACACTGATGGTTCCCTACACCGCACCATGGGTGCAGCTGGAAGTGCAGTTGTCCTGACAATGGGCGATGGCCTATACTTTGAGTGGGGAGTCCGTATAAACAACTGGGCCTCTACCCTTCAGACTGAACTATTTGCCTTGATCCTTGTACTGAAATGTGTACAAGTCTCAAAACTTGATACATTAATTGTAAGTGCACCTTATCATCCTTAAATGCTCTCAACTCATTAAGACATAACTGTAACATGCTCGTGTCCGAAGCTAGACACAAATACAACAAAATTATTAAGGATGGTAACAGAGTCCATTTCATGTGGTCTCCATCTCATGTTGGCCTCCGAATGCATGATAGAGCTGATAAGTTAGCCAAAGAATCTGCCTTTAAAGGAGCCGTTGAGTGTAACCTTGGATTGTCAATGAGCAATCTGAGAGCAGCAGTACACCGAGAACTTCAACAAGATCTTGTAGATCTGAGGCAAAGTGAAATTGACACCAGTAATTCCATCTATCATCATACTATCATGCAAGAGGAGCCACACATCTATGGATCATCCAATAAAATCAGCAGACTTCTAGATGTTACTACTGGTCGGCTTAGACTCGGTTACAAGTTTCTCTGGGAATTCTCATTATCTGCTGATGTAGACCTGACCAAATGTAAACTGTGTCAACAAAATTATTTGCACACCCTCCGTCACTATGTGATGGAGTGCGAAAAGATACGTGAATTTAGAGACAATTCTATAACCAATGTTCCAGCGATGTGTCAATACTTCATTCAAAATGATCTGCTACCAGAAATTTTAGCCAAATATCCCCAGTTTGCTAACTGTAGGTAGTAACTAAGTGATTGTAACCTATCCACCGCTGCCCACTGGATGGGGGGCGGTGTGTAGGACAAACATATAAATTTTGACACTAGCTCTCCACATATGTCAGTTGCTTAATTTAGAACCTGTACTTGAGGTCGATCTCGAACCCATTGTTGATGTGATGACTTATATTGAATTTTGTAACTAGCTCATCAAGATTGTAACTTGCTTAGCTAAATGAATTGTGGGGTTCAGTCCCTGAGCCCATTATGTGCCTCTGTAACCCTTTCCACTACCTCCCACAAGATGGGTATGTGGTGCATAATAATTGAACTAAACTAGCAATCATGTTACAGACTGTACCTCTCTCAACCAGTTTCAGATAAAACCTAAGCTCTACCTTATTAGCTCCCGGCTGTAACCTACTTTACCCATATAATGTCAACCCATATCTGTTATTTTTAAACAATGCTGTTTGTCGACCAAATTGTATTTTTGCTGTTTTCTGCCATGTTCCCCATTTTATATTTTTATATTTTCTCAACACATTTTATACTTTAATCTCAATTAGTATTAGTATATATTTAGTATTTAGTATAGTATCAATTAGTATTAGTATTAGTATAGTATAATTAGTTTTAAGTTTTAGTCTTTAGTGTTTTTCCTGCCTGAAACGCTTTGCGTAATAGGCATTTAGGCATTAGGCATTGTATGTACTAGCATTGTATGTACTTTAGGCATTGTATGTACTAGCTCTATCTATAAATCCATCAATATTTGTATCACCCCTTGTGTGTATGTACGTTACCTGAATAAACATCTGAATCTGAAATCTGAAATTCGCTACTTTTAGATCGTCAACTCGCTACTTTTAGCAATTTAGATCTGGCACCCCTGCCTTCAACAACAACAACAATGATCAGCTGACTCCATGAACACAACATCTGCACGTGGCATGAAGGAGAAGAAACATGACGTCCAGTCCTCAATAAAACACATCTTGTTCAGTCATCGTCCATGCAGCAGCTGAAAACAACAACAAACTTCCAAGTCTTGCAGAATAAACAGTGATGTGCCATTGTGACTCGTCTCCCAACATCATCGCTGTGCCGTCATCGGCAGGAGGAATCCTTTACGCAAGCTGCACGGACCTTAAAGAAGAATCTTTACAACAGGTGGACATTTGGACACCTGCGTTGCCTGGAGACATTCGGAACACGTGATACGATTTGTGACCATTGTGTCTCAATTCTGCCACCATTCCTCGTGAACGAGCCAGACTGATACGACGCCAGACACACTTATTGCTTGAGGTCAAAGGTAACTTGATAGTTTTTGTTAAATTTTGTCTTTAGGCATCGAGACGGTGTCGGCGGAATTACAGTGTCTGGCACTACCCTAAGGCTTAGTGACTAGTGTATTAAGTAGTGACATATACAAGGCAGCTCCAATTTGCAAGCACCCCAAACTCGTTCATATATGTGTAACCTACAATTGATACAAGAGTGACTAAAGTGATCCCACATCTATTGGGATGCAAGTCACATCGTACACAAGACGATTCTCCAACTGATTTTGTAACTTAATAGCCTAAACTAACTCAACTCAACTCACCCGAGCCCAGTACTGCCTAACTTAAGGTAATACATGCTAGCATAACAACTTGTTATGCTAGCATGTATTAAGTAACAGAAAACAATCTAAGGTGAATTGTCCTGTGTCTGAAACGACCTGCCCCATCTATTACTGGAATACTATTATTACTTTGTTTATTATTGGAATGTTATTTCTTTGGAAACGGTAAGGCCTTTCAGACAGAGGACTCCTGGTAGATGTAGTTTACATGGACTTTGCTAACGCTTTTGATAAGGTACCACTTGATACTAGCATGGAAATTACAGGCACTTGGGACAAATGGAAGAATACTATAATGGATGCAAGTCACATCATACGTAAGATGATTTGCCAACTGATTTTGAAACCTACATAGCCTAAACTAACTCAATCCAACTCAACTCACCCGAGCCCAATACTGCCTAACTTGAACTAATACATGCTAGCATAACAATATATATGGCCTAAACAGAAAACAATCTAAGGTGAATTGTCCTGTGTCTGAAATGACCTGCCCCATCTATTATGGGAATACTATTATTACTTTGTTTACTATTATTGTAATATTATTACTTTGGAAACGGTAAGGCCTTTCAGACAGAGGACTCCTGATAGATGTAGTTTACATGGACTTTGCTAAAACTTTTGATAAGGTACCACATGAAAGACTAGCAAGAAAATTACAGGCACTTGGGATAAATGGTTGAATGCTAGAATGGATAAAACAATGGTTAAAAAAAAACGGTCGTGTTAAATGGGAAGAAATGTGGTGAGTTAAGTACTGCATGGGTCCATTTTGGGGTCAACCATTTTGTCATATATGTCATTGACACATATGAGAATATTACAAACCATATCCAATTTGCAGATGACACTAGGATTTATGGTAAAGTGGGAAGTGAAAATTTATTGAGGCCTTACAAAGAGATCTACATAAACTCCACAAATGGTCAGAACACCAGCAATTGCCTTTTAATGTTAATTAATGCAAAACTTTGCATGTGGGGCATAACAATCCATGTCACAACTAGCAAATTAACAGCATTACCTTGCAGCAGGTTGATGAAGATAAGGACCATGGCATTAGAATCTATCACTCTCTGAAAGTTGCACAAGTGGGAGCAGGAGTAAAAAAAACATAACCAAACCCTAGGAATAATCAAGCGTACTTTTGACTTTTAAGGGAAAGAAGGTAGTCATTCAATTGTATAAATCTTTGCTGTGCCCCCACCTAGATTATTGCATCCAGGCATGGAGGCCTCATCTTCAGAAAGACATAGCTTCATTGGAGAAAGTTCAACAGCGGGCAACAAAAATAATTCCAGAGCTAATTCTCTCATACCAAGACAGAGAATTGGATGTAGGAGGGATGAAGGCCACAGAGCTAACAACAATGCAGACCAGAAATGATTGGGCTGACCTCATCGAAACGTTAAAAATACTTAACAATTTGAAGGATGTTGATCCGGACAACGTCTTCAAAAGGTCAGATGTAACACAGACAAGGAGCAACGTTTTCAAGCTCAACAAGTCACAGTGTAGGACTAAAACTCCTAAAAAAGCATCTCCTGTAGCACAGGAGATGCTTTTTCACCCACAGGATTATAAACACATGGAAGGCCCAAACCCTTCAAATTCAGGTCAATTTACTGTATGAGCCACCAGGAGCGCTGCAGCTCACTTCCTTGGAGGTTTTACAAATTCAAATTAACATTTTTATTCAATAGAATGTGTACAAAGAACATAAGAGTAATGTACCATTGTAGGTACATATGTTACACAAACTAATGAAACCACTATTATGCAAAGTGTTTTTGGAAAAACCTTAAATAATTTGTAAAAAAAAAATTATTTTAAGGTATAAAGGCATAAACACTTAATACTAAAAAAGAAGTAAGCTAACAAAAACTGAAAAGTGCAAGAAAAATAACAGATGAATACAATAAAAAGGTGATACTTAATGATGACAGGCATAGACTGATTACATTATGAGGTCAGCATTTCTAGCATTAGTACTGAAGTTAATTTACATTAATAACAGACTAGAAATACTAAGAGGTAATTCAGAAAAACAACTTAATATAGTATAATTTAAGTTTAATGGAGCTAACACTTAAAAATAAACAAGGTTGATAAAGGATATGAGTAAACACTTTTATAAATTAAATGTAAATGCAAATTTCAAAGATGCCTGCAAATGCGACCTCAAGCAGCTGAACATTGACATCAACACTTGGGAGGCAGCAGCTGCGGTCAGATCTGCCTGGATATGCAAAGTGCAGAAGGGACTCAGCTCCCGGCCCTCCCAGAATGGCTGTGTCACGGCTCAGGCCTCATTGGTCTGGATAGGTCTCTGGTGCCAGTTTATGAGTAGGTGTGCTCCCCGATGCCTTCTTCGTCTGGTCGGCGTAGTGTTCGCTATTTACGAGGGTCGGCATCTCGGGGTTCGCATTGGCCCTGTTGTGGATCGTCCAGCGATGGCTCACTCTTTTGCCAATGCCTGGTCCCACGATTTGTTGGTTCTTTGAGTCCTTATTATGGCCTTTGGTGGCATTGGGTGGCCCTTCCTCCTTTTGTGGGGCTTGGGTCTGGGAGGGTGGGCATCCTCCTCATCCATCCATCAGGTCATCTTGGAGTGAGTTCGACCTTCCTTTTCGGATGACCCTGTTGTTGCTGGTCTGGCTCATTCTCGATCCAGGTGCTTGGATGCTTCCCTGGATCTCAGGGACACATATTGGCATGTTCCTATCCATCTGGATTTGGACTTGGTTCAGTTTTGTTGTGGGGAGACATGTTTACTCTTCCATTGTCTCCCTTTTGGGTTGATCTGGCACCTTGTATTTCACCTCTGTAAATGCACATTAATGACACCATGTAAAGGACACATCGAACACTTTATGTAGGGTAGACATAATTCTGCGTATCTATGTATTTATGTCTGCAGGTTAGATTAGCATTTTAAAAGTACTACATCACCTTCTGTGGTTGATTGTTCAATAGATCCCTGGACTATATGTTTAACAGATTTCTCACCATGTCCATGGAGGACTGAAGAAAATATATATATGGTGGTTAGTATTGTAAATGTGTGGCCACATCTGTGGTAGAAAAAACAATAATAAAAGAAGGAAACTCACGTTTTATGCGTTTGTCTCTGGGCGTGGTGGCCCGTTTTCGTCTGCTAGGTCTTCGGGTCTAGGCATACCTGTACGACTGTTTGGTGTGGGTTTCCAGCTGATCTGCTAGCCAAGGGTCTGGCTCTTTTCCCAGCTCATAGGGGTCAGGTTCCTGGTGATCAGAAGTCCTAGTTGGTCCTGTCCCGGGTTCGAACTTGGCTGGGCCTTATATGGAATTCTCGGATTGCGTTCCTTTCTCTTCCTCCTGGTAGCTGTTCTGGTATCTTCGGGGCAGCTTCTTTGGCCACTCTCTCGATTGCTGGGTTTGACCCTTGGTGTCCCTGAGCTAGTTGCTCTTCACCTGTTTTCTTGGGGTTCATTGATATAACACTTTCCTTCTCATCACTCGATGTGTGTTGGCTGCCTCGTCTGTTGGCAGTGGCTTTGGGGCTAGTGCTCACCAGTGTTTAAAAAAATTGTGGGCAATACTCTCGGGAGTGACAGCCCAAGTACTGTGTGAGTAACCAAGGCTGGCGCACGTAGCATGAACTAACAGCACTGCTGTTCAGCTTGTGACCACAGCATTGCCTAAAAATGTCAAAATAAATATGTAACTGCTATTATTTAGCAATGGCAGTATTTCAGAAGACCCCGTGACTGTGATAAAAGTGACCAGGATTGTGATAATATTAAGCAGAATTCTGGTGATAATTATCGCTTTGTGGGAGGAGTAATGCGGAGGGAGGTAGCGTTGTCTGCTGACTCTGTGTGGCCACCTGTTGTCTGCAATTAACATAACAGCTTAGTGGTTCGCTATGGTGAACACAAATGTAGATACTTATATATAATGTGTGTATTAGTGTAATAACAGGGAAAGGAGTATGTTGGGAGGAGCCATTTCGGTGACAGAGGTGGCGTGGTCTGCATGACTTGTCATGCTGTGTAGAGGGTAGCCACTATGCTCTTTGGGCACCATAAAAGATTAGTTGTACAGTTAGTGAATAAAACATGGAGATACTTTTATATATATATATATATATATATATATATATATATATATATATATATATATATATATATATATATATATATATATATATATATATGAAAATGAAAACTCACACCCCAGAAGTGACTCGAACCCATACTCCCAGGAGCAACGCAACTGGTAACTACAGGGCGCCTTAATCCACTTGACCATCACGGCCGTCAAAAGGAAGTGATAGCCAAGGCTATTTGAGCCACTTCCCCGACGGCAACTCGGATGGTAATCTTGGGCATAGCATTTCACCAAATCACCTCATTCTTTGGGGCACACGTGAGGAACACAAATGCGAACAAGCCTGAATGGTCCCCAGGACTATATGCGAATGAAAACTCACACCCCAGAAGTGACTCGAACCCATACTCCCATGAGCAACGCAACTGGTAACTACAGGGCGCCTTAATCCACTTGACCATCACGGCCGTCAAAAGGAAGTGATAGCCAAGGCTATTTGAGCCACTTCCCCGACGGCAACTCGGATGATAATCTTGGGCATAGCATTTCACCAAATCACCTCATTCTTTGGGGCACACGTGAGGAACACA